ACTGGAGAATCTCAAATTCCTGCCAAATCTTAGAGACTACAAACTGTCCTTTTAATCTTAGCTAATTAAAGGTAATTAGGACTGCTTATCATTTAAAGGTAATGATAATGCTTTGCAAACCCAAATACAAATATTTAAGATTAATCCAAACTAAAAATCCAAAACTACTAAGTCTTCCTAAGAGTATATAAATTGATTGGATACAGTATAAATATTTGCTATTCACATCTTGATTGAGCCAGATACATATCTGAAATATCCATATCTGTATCTATATATCTATATATTTTTGCAATCCCCTCGATTGTGGGCTGAATTTAGTTACAAGTAGAAAATGTTAAAATGATGGGATATCACTTCTGAGATAGTTATAAAAAGACTGGTTTCCATCTAAATAGTTACAAAAAGACTGGTAACTCTCTCTCAGAAAGAAGTTATTGTGTTGTAAGTTACTTTATGGAGAAGCCCATGTGGCAAGGAATTTGATGTCTCTGGCCAACAACCAACCAGTGCAAATCTGAGGCCTGCCAATAGCCACACAGATGACAGTGGAAATGAATCTCCCCCAATCAAGCCTTGAGAGCTGCAGGGTCTTGGCTTGGCTGCAACCTCATAAAAGAGACCCTGAACCAGAAGCACCCAGCTAAGCTGCATTCAGAATCGTGACCCCATAGAAACTGTGAGCTAATAAATGTTTGTTGTTTTTAAGTCACTAAGTTTTGGAGCTAAAGAGAAGAAATGCATGCAGCTACCATAGGCCAAACCCCAAAAAAGAAATCTAATGTGGTGACTTCTGCCTACCTTTCTTCATAGTATCAAACTTCCAAGCTTCAATAATTTATAAATTCTTCTGCTTTGGCTGACCTCAATATTAGCCAGACACATTCCTCATTCTCAATTTCTCAGAAGGGCTTCCTCTTTTCTATCCATTGAAATCCTAGCTATCTTCCAGATATGAATACTTATTACTATTCACTTAGCATTTGACTAAACAACTAACTGACCTAATAGCTTTGAGTATCTAAATTCAAAGAAATCACGAACTCCTTCAGAAGTCTCATAAAACCCCTAGCAGTGGGGGAAGGATTGAAAGAAAACCAAGTAATCCAACCTAAAATGTAAGGCATCACTAGTTTGGTTTGCACACTTGCAAGAACTGAGTAAAGACCACCTTGTTTGAAGGATAGCAGTAATGATGACAAATCTTCAATTCTATGATTAGTCTAATAAGTGCTGTCCAGGCTCTTAAAATTTTCCTTCCATTAGTTTCTTAAACAACTTGCTTCCATCATTAACCCACCTCTACAGTAATTTACAGCGAGAAACACTGTCATTAAATTTCAACTACAATCATTGGTTCTCAAACTTTAGCTTGCATTAGCATCACCTGGATTGCTTGTTAAAACAGATTGTTGGGCCCCCCCCCCAAAGTTTCTGATTCAGTAAGAATATAATTTAAAACTTCTAGCTCAGAGACTGGTTAGAAAAAGATAAAAAAGTTCAAGAGATGTAAACCATACCCAACAATGGGCCTCTAGTTAAACTATAAGAGTTACAGAAAGCCAGAAAAATCAAATTTTTTAGAAGAGAAAGTGTTGATTTATAACCACAAATAACAGTATATATCTGTTGTTGGCCAAACTACTTTCCCAGAAAAAGTAAACAAATTCCCAAGGAAAGAGCAACTTGGTGATCTTTTTACATTTCAATTATTTCCTTCTGGAAAAAAAAATATATATTTGTATGTATACCACTGAGCCATACTGCCAAGACTCCTGAAATTTATTTTCAAATTCACTAATAACGCGCCTGATTTCATATTGAAAAATAACACTGGGGAGGGGGGGATTTAATATGTTTTTTTAAAATATATATTTTTGTCAATCCTCATCTGAGGATATTTTTCCCATTGCTTTTCAAAGAGAGTTGAAGGGTAGGAGCAGGGGTGGGGTGGGAATAAAAGGGAGAGAGAAATATCAATGTGAGAGACACATGGACTGGTTGTGTCCCATAGGCACAGACCAGGGGCAGGGAGCGAACCAGTAACTGAGGTACGTGCCTTTGACAGAGAATCGAACCTGTTATTTGGCGCGCAGGCTGATGCACTAACCACACAGGCCAAGGCTTTAATAGGTTTTCATTGATTTTGGAGAGAGAAGAAGGGAGAGAGGGAGAGAAACATCAGTGAGAGAAAAGATCAAAACTGATTGGCTGCTTCCTGCACTGGGATCAAGCCTGAAACCCAGGCATGTGCCCTAACCGGGAATTAAGCTAGGGAATTCTTGGTGCACTTATGCCACACTGGCTGGACAGATTTATATTGTTTAGAATTAGCAGTATGCTCTCTTAATTTGAAATAAGTAAAATAATGGTTTTTAACTTAATAAGCTTGTCGTTACATTAAACTATCATTAGTTTTTTTTTTAATTGAAAAAACAAAACTGATAATTAAAGCCTCTATGAATATAAAGAGGTCTTATAAATACTAAAAAATAAGTATCCCAAAAAAGGGGTAAAGTGAACAAACGCAAAGGACTATTACAAAAGAAATATCAATGCTCAATAAACATGTTAAAAGTTCAACTTCATCAGTTTGTTTTTTTAAGTAAATTTTATAAATGAGCATTTATCCTCATCAAGCACCAACTGGTGAAGGAAACTAGCATAACCTTTCTGAAAGTAATATGGTAATGTTCCAAATGTCTTGAAAATAAGCAAATCCTTTGACTTAGTAAATCAATTTATCCTAAGGAAATAGTCAAAGATTTAATCTATGACAGGTATTCCTAATGAGGTTTATAAAAGCCAGGAATTAAACAATAAAAAAGGAAGGTCAATAACAACAGATTGATTAGATAAATTAATTTAAATCTGTGATCATGTGAGCACTTGAAAAATATTTACTGAAAGTTGAGATACAGTCAGGGTTTTTTTTTCCTACTGAAAACATAAACATATAGAGTATCATTTTGTTATTAAAAACCTGTATAGCTTACCCAGAGGATCTATAATAGGAAGAACTACAGTTATAAATTTTGATGCGTCTCCCTGGGTGTTTCTTTCTTGCCCATTTGTTTCTTACAGTGCGCATATATTACCTGTGTAACTTTTCAAGTTTAAATCTATTAACATAAATAATCTATAACATAGTCAGAGCCTAGTCTAGATTTAGTAAGCATGCCATTTGGAGAAAAAAAATAGTCTGGGGAAAAATCCTATCCTTTGATTTACTGATATTTCTAAATATGAACTTTTAACGAGGAATAAATATTTATATATTCAGGAATTCTATTTAAAAAAGAATGAATGATGTGGAGTGCATTACCTATATATCTGTTCCAGAAATGCCATAAAGAACTTGCAAGGTTTGACCTCAGTGATTAAAACACACATAAAAGCTGAGAAAGTTGAAGATATTTAACTACATGAACATAGACCATAAGTTAAAAAGTTAAAAAAATAAAATATCCATGTTTTTTAAAGCTAATTGAAATGTCAATAAGCTAGGTAACAAGTTTGAAACATCAGACTTTATATAGTTGCAAATAATGAAAACAGAATTCAACCTTTTACTCTGAATTCTTTTAATAAAGTTTCCTAAAAAAAAAAAAAAAAGAAAAAAAATCTCAATTTAGTGACTTAAAAAGTCAACTGTCATATTTTGTGAATCTGAAAAAGAGCAGTAAAACTTATCTTTCTTCTACAACCCTTCAAATTCCTCCTTAGACTGCATTATCTATATGAAAGATTGAGAATTACACTGTTTAGCAACAGCAACAGATCTCAGGTTTTTGCTTTTTTTACTATAACTCAAAACACTGCTTCCAATGGGCCTAAATAGATGATTCAATTTTCAAAATAAAGTGTTGCTTACTAGATGATACTGTAAAAATCTGTTAACTGCAAACTCAATAAGTAGGCAGTAACATACTGCTAACTTGCCAGTAAATATTAGCCAATCGATCTTAAGGGGGAAAAAAGTAATGACTGGCATCACAAGAAGGTAATAGTTACTTGCTGCCCACATATAATTTCCTTCCATGTAACTTGTATTTTCTAAAAGTTGCATTGAATAGACTGCGTTTTTATTCTTCAATCTATACCTGACCCCTCATAATAAAACTTATTTCCTAAAATTCAAAAATGGACGTTACAAAAAATGTTATCAAGTTAAACCAAGCCTAACTTACTGACCACAAAATAGAAAGGAATCCAGAAGCAAAAAGCCTACTTTCTAAATCACATCAGAGTCTTGTCCAGTATCAGACAAATAACATTGCGTTTTGTTGTTTTATTTGCAAGCTGGGTACGCAATCTGCAGTAATTCTTCCAACAGCTTCAATTAAGTCACACCACTATTGCAGAAAGCAGCAGTTAGGTCCCAAACAAACAGCAAAGATGTAATAAAATAAAAAAAAAATAGATGCAAGCAAATGTCTCACCATCGGAAAAGGAGGCCCATCAGCAGCTCTTCCGAGAAACAGTTCCCTTCCCCCAACTTTAATCTGTACTTCAGACTGCCAAACAGATCCATTTCTTTATTAACTGATGCCCTCTTGGGGCAACCGTACACCAAGCTGCTCTTAGGCCTAGTCTAACTCTTTCCAAAAGTGCTCAAATGAGCCTGAAGGCCGGGGTAACCCTCCAACGAGCCTAATTTTTCCTGCTCTTCACCACCACCACCACCATCCTCCGTCCCGCCCCCGTAGGCGCTCCTCCGGCCAGAAGGAGGACACAGGGACAGGCAGAAATTGCCCGAGAGGCCTCCGCCATACCAGGACTTGGGAAGTACCGCCCCCAACGCATCTCCCCACACTCGCTAACCAGCAAACGCCCGCTTTCGACACCCTGTCCCCAGCAGAGGCAGCGGAGGAGACAGGACAGGGAGGCTTCGGGCTGGGCTGCGCACCAGGCCCAGGCCTGCCCTTCGGGGCCACGCGGGCCGCCCGAATCTGCTCCCCGGTACAGGCAGGTCAAGCCAGCTCGGCGGCCACCCTCACCTGGATGACCTCGTTGACCTCCCGGATACATTCCACCATGTGTTGCAGTATCTGCTCAGCCGTGAGCACCTCGTATCGGTAATCCTCTTCCTGCTCTTGCCCCGGCCCGCCGCCGCCGCCGCCACTGCCACCGCCGCCGCCGCCGGACCCGAGAGCGCTGCTGCCGCCGCCGCCGCCGCCGGTCTCCCCGCACAGCAGTCCGTCCCGTTCCCCGCCGACGCCCAGCCCGGGCTCCACCAGCTCCACCTCGCCCAGATCCAGGTTATCGTCATCTGGCTCGTCCTCGTCCTCCTCCTCGGCGCCGCTGTCCTCCTCGCTGCACTCTTCGTCCTCGTCGAACTCGTAGTTGTAACCCTCGTCTGAGTCCATGGCGCGACGCGCGGGGACCCGGCAGACGCTGGTCCTAAGGCGGGGAGAGGGCGGGGACGCCCAGGCCCCGGCTCCCGCTCCGGCTCCGGCTCCGGCTGAGGTCCGGACTTAGGCCTGGCTCCGGCCCGCGGGCCGCGGCTCCTCCCCGGGCGCGGCAGTTGGCAGTTGGCGGCTGGCGGCGGTGGGGAGGTCGTGGAGGAGAGAGGGAGGGAGCGAGGGGGCCGCCCGCTCGCCGCCCGCCTCAGTCAGACGCGGCTCCTCTCCGGCCTCCAAGAGAAAAGAGTCCCCAGCGCCACCTCCACGGCCGCTGCTACCTCTACTGAGCCAACAAAGGGGCGTGCGTCATCGCGTCGCGCTGCGTATTCGCGTCACTAGCCTTGGCGTCACCGTGCCCGCCCCTCCGCCCCTGCGTGGAATTAGGGGAGACCCCATGGCCCGGCCTAGCCCTTGGAACGCGGCACTGCCACGGTCGCCTCGGTTCCAACAGCGGTTGCTTGGTTGGGGGGAGACCAGTGGATCCTATGTTTGAGGAGGCAGTAGGCTCCCCGTCACTTTGAGGGCCCCCAGGACCGCCCTGGGGTGTATTTTGCAGATACGGCCCCCGCCCACAATCCCGCCCCCCTAGAATTATTCTGGGAAGATCTCTGCTGTTGAACCAAAATTCCTGTTACCCATGCTACTGAGTGGAAATCTTATGCAGAACCTCTAAATTGTGACAGGTGAACCTCATTTTAAGTAGTTTGATTACATACACTGGTACAGACCGGCAGTGGTTTTAAAGTCGCCTATAGTGACGTCATTTTAAAGAAAATTTTCCTAAACTCCGCCCAAAAGCACCAATTAATTGAGCACTGTATAAGGACTTGACGTATTATATAGTCTCATCTTCATGGAGGCACAGTACCCCATCCCCTTTGGAAAGGGATTTAACCAAGGCCACAGAACACTTGCCCTCTTAGCCTCTGCGTGACCTAAAATACCAACCATAAAAATGCTTTATAATGCATGACCTGTATTAAATACTATATATGATATGCATTTTAGTACAACAAAAGTCAGGAAATAATTGAAATATTTACAGGGACCAAATAAAGCAGAGAGATAGCGCTTCTCTATCCGGAAATGTGCTGTGTGAGCTGAGTTAATGGATGCTAGAAGGTAGGTAAAATGGTCGAGCCTCAGAGAATAACAGAAGCAAAGGCACAGTAAGTGTAAAGCATTTTAATTTGGGGAACTTAACGAGTAGAAAGGAGTAAATGACAAGATATTAGACAAGTTAGGAGCTGGGACAGTAAGGTAATTTATGTCATTCTAAGAGTGGACTTAAATCTTTATATAAGGAGAGGAGTTCCATATAAGTGTTTGGAAGGAAAAAGAGTCATAAAAAAAAAGCTCCCTCTGGATAATTTGAAGGATTGGTCAGATTGAAAATCTTTTCAAATCTGAGTCACTAATTTATTGATAGGGATTCCTAACTGTTCAGCATACAGTTTCCCTTGAGAAATTGAATTCAAAAAGTTATGCAATGTAAATAAGCCTCTACTAATTTGTCCACTTTTTTAGTTTTTAAATAATCAGATTTCATAAACAGGATTTGCAAAATAAAGCTTTTAACATCATTTCTGGTAGGTCTTGGTCCTCTGATTCTTAGCAACTATGTTGTTGCCACAACTGGGGTAAGCTAAGAACACTAGCAGCCCTTCTCTCCATCCCATCCCCATTGCTATATACCTACAAAAAAAATCAGTAACACTTATCAGGACTTCATATGATAATGAAGAAGAGAAGTGGTCAGATACATAATTTGAAAGTAGAGCCAACAGATTTGCTAATGGCTTGACTGTGGGTTTGATAGAAGAATCAAGAATGCCTGCTAGATTTGAGGCTTGGAACAACTGGGTAAATGATAGTGCCATTTACTGAAACATATTAAACCTGAGATGATTTTTAGATATAAAGATAGATATAAAGGTAGTGTATAAAAATAGGCAGTTTTATACACTAATGTACAAGGTCAGGAGAAGTTAGGGTTGGAAATAGAATTTTAGAAGAATTTAAGTCAACAATGTTGAGAAGTAGCATAGGCTAAAAAGGTCTAAGAGCTTATGCTTTGAAGAAAACAGAGTTGAATTTGCCTGTGCTCCTCCAGTTGCTGTCTATAACCTTGAGCAAATGACAGAACCTCTCTGAGCTTCACTTTAGAGGATTATAATTCCTCTTCTGATAGGATTTTTTTTTTATGAGAATCGAGTGAAATAATTCATTTAAAGCATTTGGCACATAGTTAAGTGCTCAAAAATTAGAACTTTAAAAAAGTATCATATATCATCTTGCATCTTGTGGGGGAAACTATAGTCAATTAGATTTATAACCTTTCAATGGATTTTATTTTAATCATGTATGTATGTACATAGCCTGTGTCATCCCCATTTTCTAGGAGAAAAATGAGTATGCTTTTTTCTCAGAAACCTTTTCCATTATCTCATGACTTCTTTTTTTGGTCAATGTCATTGGAAATATAATGCTTCTGAATTTTGGGATCTTGTATTCATGGATAAACCTTCATAACCAAATTTTTTCAGCCACACTCATTCCACTGATATTTTGTATATTATCTTAGAATCAGGTTAGGTTATAGTGCTGTTTAAGGAAACCAGTATAACAGCTTCTCTCTCACTCCAACTTCTCTCTATTGGCCTATGACTGACTCACATACAATGTTTTTCTAAATGACTTGATTGTAAAGGCATTGCCTGTGTTATCGCTTTCTCAGCTATTGTGATTATGGGATAGAAGTAGAGTAGTCTGTAAACAACAACAGGAAAAGGTCCTTGAAAACAGAATAGGCAAATTAATATTTCCTTGGTGTCAAAAGAATCACTGTTGGTAATTAGGTGCTCCCATTGTCCCCATGTCCTAATAGGGTTAAAAAAAATTAGTACTTGTTTATTAAATATCTATTCATGAAGGAAAACTCCATAAATATTTATATGCTCATCAAGTGATTATGAACAAAATTCCAACAGGAAGAATATGAAAGACCTTTTCAGATAAATATAAATTAAAATAGCACTGGAATTTTTCTAAGGGCAGATAATAGAGTTGTAAACTATGGAAAAGCCTTTAGTAATGGCAAGGCACATAGTGACCAACCATTCCACTTGGCACAGAACACAGGTTTCCCAGGATGTAGAATTTTCAGTGATAAAACTGGGAAATCAGAGGCAAATTGGGATGGTTGGTCACCGTACATGGTATGGCACCAAAAATTCTTGTATAATGTAATTAAAACACTTTCAAAAACTAAGTGGAAAGAAATTACTTTTTGTCATTTTTTAAGTTTGTTTTAATGAAGCATTTTTGCTTTGTTTTTTAAATGTTTTTATTGTTTTACCAAGCATAAGATAAGAAAATGTAATTTTATTTTATTTTTAAGAAAATGTTAAAATTATATGAATTTAATTTAAAACTTAATTTTAGCAAAAAATGTAGAGATACTCATAAGCTAATTGAGTATTTTGCATTTCTTTAAAAACATGTCTGTGTACTTCAAATTTTGTTTCAAATAACAATTAAGTGTTACACCATTTTAAAAAAATATATTTTATTGATTTTTTACAGAGAGGAAGGGAGAGATAGAGAGCTAGAAACATCGATGAGAGAGAAACATTGACCAGCTGCCTCTTGCACACCCGCAACTGGGGATGTGCCCCCAACCAATGTACATGCCCTTGACCGGAATCGAACCTGGGACCTTTCAGTCCGCAGACCGACGCTCTACCACTGAGCCAAACTGGCTTCGGCTGTTACACCATTTTTGAGAAGCAGATCTTATTATATAAGTTCTATATATAGTAAATAATAAAGCTTAGAGAGACTGAGGTTATTAGAAGTCTGGTAGAGAAAGTAATAACCAAAATTGGAACCTGAGATTCCTGATTGCAGCCCTTTCTCTAAGCTATTATCTACTATCTTTCTTCTAGAACCCAGGGTCTATAGTATGTGGTAAATTAAAGCTGGAACTAGAATTAGAGTACATGCCCTCACAATTAGGCAAATATACAAAATGGTATGTCTGTCTTTTTCATAAATTGCAAGATATGTTAGGCCTAACAGTGTGCTTATGCCTCAAGGTATTTCAAGACTCTATATCCAGTCGCTTTTTGTCCTTCATTTCTTTCATTGTGATCTGTTTCCTTGTGTCGGCAATTTCGCTGCTTCCCTGAGTTGGTAGGGTGGCTTTGTGTGTTGAGGTGTCCTATAGGGTTCAGTGGACACCTTATTATTATCTGAGGTGGACACTCTTGGTGCACCCCTTTGTGGACTGTGTGTACAGCCTTTTGTAGTTAAGTCTTAATTGTTGTTGGTATCACTGGGAGGAACTGACCAATTGGCTGTGAGGATCAGCTGTGTCTTGCCAGGAGACAGCCTTATTCAAAAGCCTCTGTGCTCAGCTTGGATGGGGCAGAATTTCAGGGTGGAGCCTACAGCCTTGGCTTCCTGTCAGCCCTGCCCTATAAGGTTCCTGAGTCTCAGTGTTCCTAAGTGTCCTTTGGTACTTGCTGCAAGCACCTCTGAAAGAAAGGTGCCCTCAAGGTTTGTCCACTACCAGACAGTCTAGTCTCTCCCCAATGTACCGGAACTGGGGTTCAGTGCAGTTGGAAGTGGGGTTCAGTGCAGTCTGGAGCTTTTGTCTCCTTCCCACTAGGGCAATCCAGTGGCACAGTCAACAGTTCGTCCTCTGTGCACAATGTGCACAACTCCGAGGCTCTGCCTTTCACCACTCCCCTGAGTTTTTCGCCTTACAGCCTAGAATCCCTTAGCCTGGGTCCCCAAGGTCTTGCCCAGAAATGGGGTTCAGTGCAGTCGGAACTGGGGTTCAGCACAGTCCGGAGCTTTTATCTCCTTCCCGCTAGGGAACGCCAGCCAGGCACTCAGCTGCCCCGTCCTCTCCCCTCGTGTGCACTGTGTCTCTGTTCCTTAGGCTTTTACAGCTCCTC